CACATAAGGCCCCGCGAGGTTAGGTGTGGTACTGAGCCAGATGACAGCAAAGCTGCTCACCACCAAAGTTGGGTGGCGGTGGTAGGGCTCAAACCCCGGACCATAGGGTCCAAACCACGCTAGTGACAGCGACTAAACCGCTGCGCTACCACCACCCATGATGCCCGAAAGTGCATGGTTAGTGTTAGTAAAGCTGAAACTGAACTAAATTAGTACTACCATAGAATAAAAAATAGGAACTCCGCTTTTGGATTACCAACCGAAACAGTGTAATGAACGATATCAGTAACTAAGTTCCACTCACCTGGGGTTCAGGCCTGAAGCGACAAGACTTGCAGCGGCTGCGAAACTCGCCTGCATACTGTCGAAGCTGGGATTGGAGACACTGCCACTACCTCCTAGACCGCTAGTGACTGGAGCAGGGGAGCTCACCGTCTGGCCGCTTAGGGTACTTGTGGCATTATTAGTACTGCCCGTCACAGAAGATGAAGAATTAGCTGATGTTGTTACGCCCGACATTGAGGAGGGTGCGTGTGGTGGCGGAGGCGGGGGTAGTGGTAAACCGAGACCAGCGAGGTTTGGTGGGAAGAAGTTCGCATAAGCTGAGACAGGTGGCAAACCTGCAGCCAGATGAGCCGCAGCCGCAGCCGCTGCTGCAGTAGCTCCAGGCGGAGCTGGAGGTAGAGCTGGAATACTGGTAGGGCCGCCGCTGTTGGTCAAAATACCACCACCACTACCGACAGACGCCGGGGCGAGGCTTGTACCAGCACCACCCAACAGTCCAGCGGGGAACGGAAGGCTGCTTCCTCCACCAAGGCCTAGACTTGTGCCTCCAGCAGCAGAAGAAAACAGTCCAGCTGAGAGACTAAGGGCAGCAGCTGCTGCAGCTGGATGCAGTCCACGAGCAACACCAGGTGGGAGTCCGGAAGGTCCTGTATTGTTGTTATTACTATTCAGCACATTGACGCCAGGTAGACCTGCTGCTAGAGACAGATGACTGCTATTAGCCAAGACGTTATTTCCAATATTGTTGGGAATGGAGTTATTGGTCATGTTATGCCCGCCCGAGATTGAGTTGGATCCAGTGAGGAATTCTTTGTTTACACAATTTCGCAAACAGTCCGGAATGCGATTGAGGATAGCACGCCGAATTTCGTTGGCTGCTGCTTCGCGCATCTCACGCATGCTAGATTCGCTATAGAAAGCCATGTGTGGTGTTACAATCAGATTGGGTGCACCCTTCAATGGACCTGAAGTGAATGTCCGTAAGCATAAATTCAGTGTCACGAGCTTATATATCGTGAACAGATGAACAAATAAATTTGACAACACACAGGAACACTAGAGAGCAACGAGCATTGTTGGGAAATAAACGGAAAGGCCTATCACTATTCAGACACTACGATTAACAGCACAAAAATGCCTGAATGTAAATAAAAAAGAGTTCAGAATCATCCAGTGAGAAACCGCGATCAACTTACGTAAATGAATGACGTTTTAGGTTACGAGTAAACATGCTTCAAAGGTTGACAAGAAATCCACAACGGAAGTACTAAAAAGGACTAATGAGTCAATGCTAAAATCCCAATTGTTGAGAACAAAACGGGTGCTGTAGAATCCCTCTAGCGTTTTTCGTTTACCGATACATCAACAAGGTCCACCGCTTAGTAAATACGACCTCAAGTACACGTTTTCAACAAAAGAACTGCTCTATCGAGATAAAGATAATAAAAATACAGCATTTTTCTGATGTCGAAAAGAAGTGAAGAATGGAACAACAAACGAACCCCCATCACCACGCTCACGTGAAAAATTGTATAATTTTCTGGCAAAAAATCTAATAAAAGCGAATAACAGCAGGAGGATACGAAAACTGTTGCGCTCACTGTTATTCAAGACAAACGGCTCGTTTTCAGATACGTCCAACGCGGCAGCACGAATTCGCCCATCCTTCAGGGCAGTGGCGAGAGCAACTTCATCGATCAGACCACCACGAGCAGTGTTGATCAAAAAGGCGCCTAGTGGTGCAAAAAGAGGAGATTTGCTCAGCATATGCACGTTCTAAATGTAATTTTAAGCATGCTGATATTTCAGATACCCCAATGTTAAACTATGGGAACAAAATTCAGCAGCCACTCACCTGGTCGCATCAGTTTGATCGTTTGCTCATTGATCATGTGGCGATTCTGTTCGTTGAGAGAGCAATGCAAAGTAACGCAATCACTCTGAAAGAGCAAATCTTGCAAACTGTAAACCCGCTCGATACCCAAAGATCGTTCAATGCCGTCAGGTAGATAAGGGTCGAAGAATATTATTTGGAATCCAAAAGCTTGTGCACGAAGAGCGACTGCTGTACCGACTCGGCCTAAAATGGTTAAATAATAAAACACATTAGCAGCGAACCACAACAGCAATCCAAGTGACGTCCCAGACAAATATGTGACCAAATAAAACAATCTACAATCACTTCGAAGTCTCACAGGGTAGTAAGGACAGCTGAAGGTCTCGTACGAACCCTAGTGCTCCCTTAGTACAAATAATCAGTCCTGTTCACCAGGTAGAATTTTCGGTACACACTCATGAGCCGCAGTGAAACGAGACTGAATACACTTGTATTCATAGAATGAATATAAAAGGCATTTTTACGATTGGTCCGCAAAAATTCGATGGGAAATGAATAGCACTGTGCAATGCATCCATGGTTTGATCCGATTTTATTAATAGACTCAGTGCCAAAACTGACCTATCGAGGTCCAGTGGGGTTAGCCACACCAAATCAAAGAGCTTCAATGGTTATTTTTACGCTAGCAAGCTTGGATTAGCCCATTCGATTGTTAAGAGGCACCAGGCACTCTTGATGGTCATCTTTAAAAACTCAAAACGCAAAGTAATCACAGTAACGTGATGAACTACTGTCAGCTTAGTATTACAGTTGCACACATTTTTGTGATGGACAGCAAACGGAGTGGATCCCACAGCCACGAAGACCTGCTGCTTAATGATGGAAACCGGTAATCTAAATTGGTCAACTTCATGCGAAAAATATTGTATAAAGGCGCTCAAGTGATATCTGTTGCGGGTAACAGCACCTAACCCACTTATGAAACATGGAGTCGAAGCATTCATTCATGATAAGACTGGTTCCTATCCAAAAGGCCTATCCAAACAAATTTACTGTTTTAAATGAGGTAATCGTGGCAAAAAACCTATATACTTCCTGGGAACAAAAATACGAACGAACCGAGAAAAGATTGCTGTATGCGCCTGCCTGACGAACGGCAAGCACTGCGAGACCAGTTCCCCGAAGATTTGGTCGAGTAACCCATACACTACTTATTATATATATATGGCCGCCCATTTGGATGAAGAATAGGAGACAGGGAGGTTGAAAGCAGAGTTAAACAGAAAATGGAGAATTTCAGTGGCCTATGGTTGCAAAACAATTGAGATGCACGAAAGCCGTTGTTTACGACACTCAGACATGTCATTAGGTGTCTTTAACTATCGGTTACAAGCATCCCGAGGTCGTCATCCAGGAAGCCTAACGGGACCCATGTGACCCAGTACCCTGGTTAAGGATTTCAAACCCTCGTGCAGGTCTTAGTTTGACCATCCTTGACTTGTTTCCTCCCACTACCTAAAGCGGTTACACAACTGTACAATCGCATTTCTGGTGATAAAGGATAACTCTAAGGACCAAGAAAATATTATTTGATCTAAGAAATATCTACGAAGTAGAAATTGACCTCATTGCCCTCCGAATAAAGGTTGTAATAGCTAATCCTTATAACGCCTCCCAAGGCCTCAGTATGGTTGGGGGTGGGTGTCTAGGGTTGCGGCTGGTCACCCGTCCCTTGCACCTCACGAAATGCTCCCATAAGACCAAGCGTCTCAAATAGTTTCTGCTAAGGAAGTCCTACTCACTGCCCACTCGTGGCGGAGGTGTTTTTCCGCGAAAGTGAGAGGACGAAAAGTTGATATCTGGGTCTATAACCGGGTTGGTGGACCACTGGCAGTTAACCTAGGGGAGTTGGCCAAAAACCCTGATTCCAAACCAACCATGAGGAGACATACGAACCACACCAACACTTTTCCGGTTGTGGCAGTGGTCACCGGCTCGATTGGGCATTGAGGTGTATTGGGCACCTTGGACGTTTGACCCCGTTCGAAAGGCGTATGATCCGATGAACTGGACACCGGCTCCCAATGGATTGCGGTTTTCGCACACCGCCCCGCTGCCTTTTAGCCCACCTATGGCTAGCCGAAGGCTCCGGTTGTGGATTCCTCAAGAAAATTCACCTGCATTGGCCTGGGCTACCTGGTAGTATTCGGCCCCCTTGCAAGTCGTTCAGCGTTTTTCTCTTTGTACCACGATTTGTTTGGCACAATCTGGCATAAGACGTGTGTGAAAT